GTTCTGAGAAAGCTCCTCAACATACCATGTGGACGACCCTCAAATCCTCGTGATAGGAAACCTGTAGGTTCTTGGAACATGTTAGCCGAGGTTCCGGTGACCACGAAAAACAATTCATTGACATGAAAGGACCAGATCAGGTATGCATGAATGGTATAAAAAATAGATTATCCGCATCGGTAAACCCGGATAGGACTCGTCATCTAGAAAATCATCATAGGACCAAAGGGGGAAAGAAAAGAGAATAGACCTACAGTATCAAATGATCAAACTCGCTGTCCCGGACACTGAGGCGTGCACAAGCGCTCAACTGGCTGCTATGTTAGCCATGAACTCATCCGAGCATGCAAACAAAAGGATGAGAGGCTGCTAATCAGTGGACGAGGTTTTCTAGGCCTGTCGCAAAAGTGGCATATCCGTCATTTGAGAATCGGAGCCCAGTGCCGTTTCATCATAGAAGCAGTCGAGGGGATGATGGAGAGGCGACATACCCATCATGTCTGGGCGCAGTGAAGGTCGAGGTGAGCGGGATGGCGGTCTGAAACAGAGTCCTTTGATAGCGTTAGCATTGGAAACCATACAAGATGTGAATGCAAGATGTATTGTTGAGGTCGTCAATCAGAAACAGCCAATTGTTTTCTTCAAGAATTTTCAGTCGGTAATTCCAACTTGCCGAAGCAAAGTAAGATCATCAGATGACGTGGGGAAGAGGTTGTTTGCGAACGTGGATAAATGGGAGACCAACCTGATATCAAGGAGCGTCACAAAGACATAGCGATGGGCCGACGATCGACATGCAATGAATGTTTACCATGGCCACGGCCAAGCTCATGTCCCATCACCCTTCCGCCAATACAGATCTGATCGAGACCGGTTCCATTGTGGAGGGGAGCTGCCTATTGATCTGTTGAAGCCGTTAGCGACGATTCGGGCATTCACTGCGGTGTTTTCTGCTTGATCAATTTCCAAAAAGCTTTGCGCTTGATCAGACTGACGTGACAATGCTAGTTACATGTCCATAAATGGTTCAAAGACTCTAGTTTGCGGTGTTGGTGTTGTCATCAGGGAAAGGAAATTGCTCGTGGGATGCTGAAGGAATTGCTGAACTTACCAGAACTGTGTGGTTGTTGGTCGAACTGCGCGATGGTGCAGTGAGAATGGAAGTGGGAGTCGGAGAAAGGAATTGAAAATTTTTGGGGAGGTTTTGAAGCTGCTAAATTGTGGAGCCCAAGGAAAATTCCGCCGCCGTTGCTGAGACCCCACCTTCCAGCAAAGCTTGAGCGCTGTGCTTGGCGATCACGTGCCGTCGCTCATCTTTCGTGTTTGCCCAGCCTCCAACTGCATGAACGTCATATCCACTTGTTACATCATTGAACCTGGACGCGTAACCTCAGAGCTGTAAATTGCCCCGGATAGGAAGTTGGGCGGCCAGATTTTGGATAACGAAAATCAAAATGCCCGAAATCGCAGAAAGTATGCTCGCTCGTTGCTTGACGAAATAAAAGTAACCTTTGCTGACAGATCCATATTCGCCAGTTGCTCGCGCTGTCCATTTCTTGCGTTTGCATTTGGTTGGCAAGACGATCAAAAGCGCAATCGCAGTTGATGATGCAAATGTCTTTGGAAAGGTGGGGACCTCGGGTCCTGAGTTTGCGGTTGCGATGACGGGCAAAAAGGTCAGTGTTTTCCCCATGAGGCCTTGCGTGAGCTAAGAGACTCAACCCCGTACTAGGTTTTATCTGCTGGGACACAGGGGAAATACTTCTGGTGAGTTTTTCGGATATCATTATCAGTGGTTGTGTCTTCCACGCTAACTTGACCCTAGGCTCGTGCTTGACAAACCACCACACCCGGTGATGCATTTTGGAATGACCGGTATATTTCCTTGCCATGTTCTGATATTCTCGAAATTGAACTGACAGCTGTTAGGTTGGATGCATGTTAAGGGAGATCAGACGGCCTATACCAACTACTACAAGAGCAAGAAGCCTGAGGAGCTTGAGGAGTGGCCGCCAAAGTACTGGAAATTCCAGCTGAAAACAGAGGAGGATCCCGTCGTCGAGGTCGCTTACACAGACCCCCGTCGGTTTGGCCGCGTCCGCCTCGTGGACTGCCCAGGGGACTCTATCCGGAAGCATTCGCCGCTGGTGGAGAACGGCCCAGACCCGGTTGTCGACACAGACATTTTCACGGAAGAGTACCTTGAGAAGAAGATGCGATCCAGACACGTGCCGATCAAGGCTCTCCTTCTCGACCAGGCATTCCTCAGCGGCATCGGTAACTGGGTGGGCGACGAAGTCCTCTACCAGGCAAAACTCCACCCAGAGCAATACTGCAATGATTTCAGTGACGCGGAGATCAAGGAGCTCTACCGGTCAATTCGCTATGTTTGTCAATTGGCAGTTGACAAGCTCGGGGATTCAGACCAGTTTCCCGAGACCTGGTTGTTCAACCACCGGTGGGGCAAGGGAAAGAAGGCCAGCAAGCTTCCAAATGGTGAAAAGCTGGCGTTCGTGACGGTGGGGGGAAGAACAAGTTGTTTCGCGCCGAATGTACAGAAAAAGACTGGAAAAGTTGCCCCAGGAATCAAGGAGGAGCCCATTGCATCTGACGAGGAAGAGCCAAAACCTGCAAAGGCTGGAAAAGCAAAGAAGCCCGCCAAGGCCCCCAAGATCAAGCAGGAGGAGGAGAAACCCACCAAAAGAAAGATCAAAGACGAGGATGATGCCGACAAGAAGCCGCTCAAAAAGACCAAAGCGGCCGCACCAAAGAAGACTTCTTCGGTTGCGAACGGTGTCAAATCAGAGGGGAAGAAGACGACAGACGACAAGGTGGAGGTAGGAAGACGGCGTTCTGGGCGCTTACAAGGGAAATAAGTACCGGGTTGACTGTCTGATTCTAGATCAAGAAATAGTGAGAGTCCAAGGCCCCCAACGCCTTTTTCCCACTGAACAAGCCTTCACCCGGGTATCAACTTTCACTACACCCCTTACCAAAGGCCACAAAAAGACAGCCCCCGTAGCTCAGTGGTCAGAGCGCGGACAGCGTTGCTATTTCACACAGCGTTTGAGATCAGCGAGTTTTCCAGCGAAGTCTATTCAGCGAAATATCAGCGTATCCGAGGTCAGCGGTTTGAATCCGCCCGGGGGCATTTCCTTTGCTAGTTTGGCTATTACCCAACTTTTCCCCGGGGCTTATCATGTATGATTATAACTCGACCATCGTGGGACAACGTTTAGGGGCCCCATCATCCCAACTCACGGCTCGGACTCAACATCAGGCGGGAATGTCCCAAACAAGGCCATCAGATGCTGCGTCTGCTCTGGTGCGAGCTTTTTATCACCCTCCGTTGCTTTGGCAAGCATTCTGAAGTCTGCAATCACGAATTAGTCTCGTCATTTCGAATGGGGCTGGTATAGGATGCGGTGTTTTGTACTTACAATCCACATAGTGCGCTTCGCATCAAACAATTACTATATCAGCTTTCCTCCTCGCAATCCGATAATTGGGCGTAGAGAATATGTTTACTCACCCGGTGTCGCTGTCATGTAGCACTCACAGTCCTCAGTCTCTGAGGCGTTCTTGAAGGTGTGGATTGCCCTTGGGGGCACAGTCATGAGGTCCCCAGCCGAAGCATCAACATGCCCGTCGGGAGTGTCGAACCGCATCGTTCCTGTTGTTGACCTGGTAAGCTGCTGAAACTCAGGTAAGTACGGGTGAAGACCTCTCTCTCACCCTTGGTAACGAGAAACAGCTCGTCATGAAACCGATGCCAGTGCATAGGCGGGCCCGACTTTCCAGCCGGGATCTCGATGAGTACCCCGCTGACTCTGTCTTGGGTCAAAGTCCCATCCTCATAGACTCGAATAGTCAAGGGTCCAACTTTGAGAGTCTCGGCGGCCTCTTTCTTGGTCAATTTGACCGGCACCGGACCGTGAGAGCTCATTATGTTGGAGTCCGGGGTGAACTTGCTGGCGTTGTTCAATATCTGTCCCCGTCGAAGTAAAGATACGACTTGAAATTTTACCGGGACACTCGAGGCTCTGTGTTGTGAAGGTGTTGTACAGAACGAAGAACCGAGTCCGGAGGGGATCCGGAGAAGGCAAGCCGGGCACGGAGATTGGGGTCACCGGCTTTAGCCGGCTCTGTCCCATTCCACGCCATTCACGTGGTTTTGCACCCAAGCCTGTAATCGGCTTCTGAACACACATTTATCAACATCGACGAACATCAAGACTTACCATGTGTGCTGTCTGTCCTGGCTTAACTTCATCTCGAGCTGGGTAATTTGTGCCGTTCTGATAGTTTAGCTTCTCAGCCCGTTTCTATTCGCTCGCATCCAGCCTGCTTTGAACTAACCAAATTCCCAGAAACACATTCTTTTACTTCTCAAAGGGCCTCTACCCCAAGGTTCTTACCCTTGTCTCAGTGCCCATAAAGGAAGAAACCAAACAAGCCTCAACAAGCTTCGCTATCCGCAAAGGTCAGCCCTACGCTACTTGGCTTCCAATGGAGAGGGTCTCATGCAGATTGGATAAATATGTGAATCAGTAACACTCAACTCTCATCTTGTCCTACGTGATCTCACATCAACATGTACATTTCTGTGTAATTCGCTCCGTAGATACTTCTACCATGAGGCTCTAGGTAGGTGGCTATCCGCACTTTTCCCTTGCTTTACTTGCTCAAACCCGAACCCGTTCTCATCAGAAGACATCGTTGATCTCCCTCGCCAATGCGGTCTCCTGTCTTTACTTCTCCCTCGTTCTCCAAAGGATGTGGGCTAGGCCAGATTACATGTCATATCACGACACAGTCAAGGCTTCAAAACTAGCAGAAAGTTGGACTTTTTTTCTGGACGTCTGGGATGCAACCTGTAATTGGGATATCCCGCTCCAAGCCGAAGAACCCACCAAGACGCCAAAGTCGGAAGACGGGAAACACAAACTCAAAAGAGGTTACCTTCCTTCCAACAGAAGCAACAAAAGCCCAACTCAGTCGGTTGTATAGTGTAGCGGTTATCACACCAGATTCTGACACTCGTTCAGTCAAGTCAGGTCCTTCTGGTAACCCCGGTTCGATTCCGGGTACGACCTTTCTTTTTCTTGCAATGTTTTGTTTCTATTTTTATTCTCTTCTCTTCGCTTGTTTCCTTCTTCATTCTTTTTTTACATATCGACTCTCTCAGGTGATATGAAGTCTTCTCGGAGGTAAGGACGTATTGCTGCTGTTCTACGGATACACTTGACAGCCTCTCGCGAGTCGAGGCTAAGACTATTCCTTCACAGCTTCTTGATTTGGTGGGGAAAATACTTGGGAAGGAGGGACAGAGGTACCAACTCTTGGTGTATTTATGTGTAATAGTGGCATACATCTCTTATTATCAGGGGGGTCAGACACTTCGGTTTGCCGGAGACATATTTTTACTTGCTTGAGCATTTGAGAATCTTGATTTCTTTGTTATTTTGTATAGAAAGCATTCAACTTACATGTAGATATATTGATCTATTATGTGAAGGTAAACTGCTCATGTCGTTCGAGCACAGAATCTTCATGATACCCAGTCTCAACCCCATTGTGTATCAGCTGTCTATAGGATACGTCTTAGGTCAACCAGGACACTTGGGTCAAGGCTCGATGTATGAAGATGTAGAGAAGTCTCGGCTTGGTTATGCGCACTGCCATCTGTCACAAGGCAGCTAGGCGAGGGGAAGAAATTTCACTCTTTTCTGTCTCAGCCTGGACAAGCTTGTTATGTTACTCGGTTAGAATAAATACCGCCAAGTCAGATAGTCATCAGGCACACCTCTCCGGATTCTCAACATGCGTCTGACCTCGGGACGGCTAATACTGGATTTTAACAACCTATATGACTTCATATATGGACTCGCAAACAACAATCTTGGTGTGACCTTGGCGCCTCTTGAAGTTCCATTGCGGGATATTGGGCCGAGAAGCTGCATTCTATAGAGCCCCCGAGATGATGTCAAAGACGCGGGTTTTCTTGAGACATCATCAATGGAACAACAAGAGCTCGAATATCGTCTCGTTTTCTCCGCGGACCCATATTCCAGCCGGCGTCAAGCATCTATCCATAAGTGAAAGCCGGCGATGACGCAAGATGTCGGTGAGAAAGTGTGACGATGAGAGGTGTTCGCTGCTCGTGATCAACGGGTTGCGGGTGTGTCTAGACTGGTAATAGAATCGGCATAAACTTTGGACTCGAAGAGGTTGTCTATAACCCTCCAGGTCGGCAGGCAAGTGATATTCCTTCTCTTCCTTCCTTTTCTCGAGAGGCGTTGATAGTCCATCTGTGTGTCTGAGTTCAACCCGTGCTTGACCGCTCCGTGAGTCGAAGCTAGGAACCGGACCGCGGCCTCGAAGATTTGGACTCGATTGTGGTAAGCCTCAGTCAGGAGTCAGGACCTGGTCGGCTGGTTGGTATTCTTGACTCGTTGGCTCTGCGTGTCGGTAAGCAGCAATCTTAGATCTGCGGAGAGATTGTGTTAGCAAGGATGGGCCACAAGATGTTGGAGGGTCACACAAGCTCCAAGCCCCAAGACCCCCAAAAGTGATCTATCACAATACGCGGTGCCACCCACTCCTTCGCTTCTCTTCGACTTGGCAACGGTATAACCCGTGCTTGCTGCAGACACCACTTAGATATGCCCAGCCAAGGCGACCCGAAGGAGAAGAGAAGGAGCTTCAAGGAGCAAATGCTCCCAGAGACAGCGATGGTGCAAGCGTCGTGAAACATTTGTGTATTCTTGTTTCTAATGAGTCCGTGCCATGATGGCTGCGTTAATCGTAGAATTTTCCCAGCAATTAAGATACCTGAGGATAGGAAAGTTACCCGAAGCCCATCACGTCAACAACTCTCCATTCCCTCCCGAGGTAGTCGAACCGAGAAACCTCGGCCATGTCCATTTAACATCCGACCTAATAGTCCGGGTCGAAAGAGCTAAAAGGCCGATGGAGCATTTCTGCAATCCGTCGGCCCTCCCAAGCCATAATAAAGGGGGAAGGAGCTTCCGTAAACCGAAAAGAAATGTGGCATGAATCCAGACCAGCCTATGCATGTCCCTGAACGAAAAAAGAAAGAAAACAACACCTTCTAGCCAATCCGGTCGTTACCCACATCTCTTCGTGCGACCCCCAAAACGCCTCGCTGCTGATGATATCTGTATCTGGCAGTATCCTTGTCCGCCGCTTCAAATGCAACCAATGTGAGGAGAAATAAGAAAAGGGGAAGGGACCCGATGATGTCAATGTCTTAAACCCGAGGCCGTGATCGATAGTCTCGCAGAGACCCCGAAAAAAAAGAAACGTTTGCCAATGCGAAACCGGTAAGTGAAGCCGTGGCGCAAAGAAAAAAGAAACTCCAGAACCCCAGGGAAAGATTGTACAACACCCAATCCCGCTACGCATCAGCTCTCCAGCTCGGTAAGGAACCCGACGCAATAGTCCCGGCCGTCGCAGCGAACAGGGATCATGGTAAGGTAGTTGACGAATTTGCTTCCGTTCTTCTTGAAGTTGACCACTTCGATCTGCAGCTCGGAGCATTTCTCGACAGCCTTGCGCATTTTTCGAACGCATTCCTTGTCGACGTATTTCCTCGTCGACTTGGCCTTGACCTTACCCCCAGGCGCCTGGAGGAATCTGCAATTCGATCCTATCACCTCCTCGGGGGTATAACCGGTGAGCTGATAAAAGGGTTCTGAGGCGTATACGATTGGTTGGTCCGCCAGCTGCAAGTCGCACACGAGAATCGGGCAAGACATATCAACGGGACCGAGTTGCACCTTTGGGTTTGGTCGCTCCATAACTTTGATCTGCTGTGCTATTAGAAACCATGCAGAATCGAAGAGAGCTCATCGACAGGGATAGCCATACCAGAATTTCCATTATGTTGTACTGACTTGGCGCGTAGACTGAATCGTGGAAAACACCACCATCGTACGCCGAAGTCGACTGAACGTTTGTAAGCAAGCGTTCAGGAAGCCACAAGGCCGGGGACAGGAGGGCGGATGTAATACCTGATACGAAGGCACCTCCCAATAATTCATGGTTGCTTCTACGGACGAGTTCATGGCTGCTGAGGATGCCGCGAGAAGGGTGATGATGTGTCTGTGTATCTCGACACTCTGTCTGAGGCGAATGGTCTTACTGTCGACACCGCTGCTATCTTCCCTAGCAAGAGCAATAGATGATGGGCTCAAAGGACGTTCTAGACTCCCGAAGTGGACAACGACGGGGAAGGGATAATGATATGTAAGTTGTGTAACTATGTCAGACAATTCTAGGCCAATGACGAGGAGTGTGGTGAATGGTGTTCAAGAAGTTGACGCCCTATTTAGCCCAGGACGGGAAGCGGATCTGGAGGGATATTTAATCGGATGCCGAAGACATTTGCCAGTGACGGATGGACGGGACAGCTTCTCGATCGAGATCAGTCGGAAGGTGGTGAATTCCCCGTCGAAGCTTTGCAAGATTTCGATAACTGCCGGGATGGAAATCGAAGTAAACCGGCGGACATGGGCACACAGACTTGGGCACGATAAATGAAGCAGTTTGAAATAACACAAGGAGACGGAGTATCAGTCCTGTCATCGATAGCAGCAGCGATGAGCACACAGGCCACAGGCTTGCTCGCACAGGACTCGCAGGCAGCATTGATGCAGCCGGATGGGGCGTGGATTCTAGACCGGGCCAACGATTTCAGAGGTTGGGTGAGGTGGTGGGCAGTTTGTGGGCAGTTTGTGGGCAGTTTGTGTGCCTTCTTGACGTGGTCTCAGCGAAACTGGGTTCTTGATCCTGACGTGCATCGTGAGTGACTCTGAATCGAGGCGCTGTTAAGGGACGGCATCGGCCAGGCCAAGAAGAAGCTTGATTAAGCTCGAGGTACTAGCAGACGGTTAGCTGACAGGGGTCCTCTCCTGGGTCCTCTTCGCACCCCTAGACTGACCCGATTAGGCTTGGAGTGGTCTGTGGTGAGATCGAGGAATGAGGAATGCCGTATGGGAAAGCTAGAATACCACGAATACCTGTTGTTGCAGGGGGCCGTTAAGGGACCCAAACGTCAACAATGCGTAAAGCAGCTGACTGATGAGAGGTGAGAATGGGAGGGTTTGGCAGGTAGAGAGCAGTTTAGGCTGCCCATTTTTTTTGGACTGGTGGCCGATTGCCTGCGCGTGGATGACACTTGGCGGCTGCAAGAAACGGCGCCGTCCAGATCTGGAGCAGCGATCTGGAAGAACCCTCCAAGGCGCTCAGATCGAGCCAAAGAACGGGGCCCACGCAGGTGCCCACCACACGCACCGTCACTCCACCCGCAACCAAATCGGCAGTGTGGGACCGCTTCTTGAGCCGCTGCAGCCGGATACCCGTTCCCATCTTGGCTTGTTTTGTTCATATTTATGAACCGCCATGCTCCCATTTGTGCATGTACGCGGTAATTTCGCCCTTATGACGGGTGTCGTGGAGGAGCATACCGCCCCTTTCAACCTCGCGGTGACTGCACTCGCTTGTCTCTGGAATAGCAATTGCTATTGGTCCAACTGCCGCAGATAGTCCATGCATCAGCAATCTCATCCTGAACAGTTTGCAATGAGGCAACGGTATGTGAGGGTCGGGAAATGCAAGTCTTGCTCTGACCGAGCGGCACCGAAGTAAAACCATCAATACGACAAAATGGAAATCCTACCTACTTGCTACTTACCACATCGTCACCCGTGCTATGGCCGAGAACGTCGCGGATCCATGCAGCAAGTCTCCCATTTGGTGATTGAACCTCTCAAGGTCGATCCCGATGGCGCTAGGTCCAAAGGGTGCCAATGTCTGGAAAGATGATTCGTGTTGGCTGATATCCAGATGCGGTCTGTGAGGACAGCGCTGTGCATCTGCCGACATCTCAGCCAGCACCTCGACGCTCAACTCCATGAGGACCATCGTGATCCCCAAATTAGGATACTGCGCCTGCATCAACAGGCTATCGCAACCATGCCACCCCCACGGCAGCCTCGACCTGTCTGGCTGTCCCCTTGTCAAGCCCATGATCTTTTTGTCGCGAGGTCACACAGCGCGTCTCCCATGCGTT